CATCTGTGGCTTTTTGGATCTTAAAAAGGGTAAAAGATATAAAGTAAAAAGGTCCTAAATGAATCTAAGCATTAGGGATTAGGATTGTTTTTTTGTTTTTTGTTTTTTTGTAAATTTCCAGTTGATTCTGATAAGGCAGCCAATCTAACAACAATATCTGGATGAAACTAAACTAAAACATCTCAGGTCTCTGCTGATTTTAAAAAATTAAAATTCTGTAACTGATTGATTGAAAGTAGTTTTGTCATCAGACTTCCATTTCTAATCAAGACTTCTTAGGTTCTTGTATTACAATATGCAATGGAAGTAAAGCACAAACACTAAGTGGAGTAATTAATCAAGTTAAACCCTTTAGAAAAAGATAATTTACCAAGTATTTACTTCTTTTTAAAGCAATGTCAGCAAATGCTAAGAAGTTTTTGCAGTTAAGCTCCCATTGCCAGAGTCATCATTCTATAATTAGCTAAGCGCCTGTGATCTGTATCTCTCATCTGCTGAAACAAGGTTGTAAGACTATTTCACTCCATCAGCACCTGACACCTTGAAAGTTTTGTCTTTGTCTATTTGTGAGCTGCACTGTCTGCTCATTGCTATTTCCCAGTGAAATAGTAAAACCCAGTGAACGCTAGATGACTTCACGTTAGACCAGTATTATTAACAAGGGAGCTTCTCTTTAGTATGCGTAAAATACGCAACAAACTGTGAGAACAGATGGAAAAGAGAAGAAAGCTTAGGTTTCAGAGTGTCCTTTCTTGGGTTCTCCACTAGGGAACAGGTAAACACAAAAATGCAGAAGGGCCAGATACAGGTAACCAGGAGTGGGACCAGGTGAAGAAAACAGAGTCATATATAAGGCTCCTCGTTTACTTCCTCATTCTCTCCCTCCTCACTGAAGGAATGGTGCTAAGAACCTAGAAGTGAGCAATAAAGAGAGAGAATGGCAAATTGTCAAGATGGCCCAGCAGAATGAAAATGAAAATGACGCCAGGAAATTCAGAGGTCAACTCCTGGCCCCATCACTGGTTGATCACTGTGACATCCCGTCTACCTGGGACTTGGTGTCTCACCTGTAAAATGAAATGGCCAATAGTAACACCTTTCTCAGGCAGCTGTTTTGAGGATTAAGAGATAATAATGATGGAAAAGTACTTTGGTAACACCAGTGGTTGACGTGTAATGTATTAAGATTCTGTGTCTGGAAGGCTAAGCAAGTTCAGCAGCAGAAACTCCTGATCACAGGACTCCCATTTAAAAAAAAAAAAATGCTCTGCTCCATCTCTCAATTTACAGAGATGAGAAAAGCCACATCTATGTGCTCTGACCCAACAGAAACGATCATTGTTGTCATCACGGAGTCTGACCCTTATACTTTCCTGGGGGATGAGAGGGAAGTGAGGCTCAAAGTTTAAAGGATGCTGGCACGTTACAAGAACCATGGTTATAAAATGTCTCATCAGGCTTTCCCACCCACTCCCAACTGGTTTTTCAAAGCAAGTACTAGCAGGCAATGATGGACTAGAAGGTTTGGACCAATTCACCTGATAAAGACAATGAGGAAAGCAAGATGAAATATACACAGCATCTTCCTAAGAGCAAGAAAGAGCTATTATCATAGTGTGGAATTACCTGGTCATGATCCAAAAGTATATGGGAATCCAGAGAAGCGGCCCAGCAGCCGGGACTGCCTTTGATACCCCCCAGAGGAGGCAGCCAAGAAGCCAGGTAGCACTCTGACAGCTCTGGCGGAATAGGGACCGAAAGCTGGAGTCCAGGGCTCGCCAAGGATGAGGCTCGCCAAGGATGAGGCGAAACGCTCACGCTTAATATTAGGGCCCCAAGATTAGGAGCTGGAGTAAGACTGAAATAAAAATACGCCTGCCCTTGAATGGACTGCAGGCTGACTTCAAGTCACCTACCTGGGTGGCTCTGAAAATCTCAAGCTCTGAAATTAAATTAAACTGATTTTGGAGACCTGCTGCCCCCTCAAGCATGTGGCACAGGCAAATGCTCTTGGATAGAAAAAAGCACTGTGCTGAGAATCAAATTATTTCTATAGGGACAACTAGATACCCACGAGAAAAAGAATGAAATTGGACCCCTACCTCACACTACAAGCAGACCACATCAAAATGGATCACAGACTAAATTTATGAACTAACACTATAAAGCTATTACAAGAAAATATAGGTGTAAATCTTAAGGCCTAGCATTAAACAATGGTTTCTTAGAAATGACACAAAAAGCAATAACAAGGAATGAGATATTAATACATATACAACATGGATGAACCTTGAGAACATTATGGTAAGTAAAAGAAGACAGTCACAAAAGGACATATGTTGTATGAGTGCGTTGGCAAATCTGTAGGGACAGAAAGCAGATGAGTGGTTATCTGGGGCTGGGGGTGGGGGAAATGACTGCTAGCATAGTGAGGACAGCTTTTCTCTTTGGGTTCATGAAAATGTTCTGAAATCAGATTATGGTGATAGTTGCACAACTCCGTGAATATACTAAAAACCACTGAATCATATGTTAAAAGGATGAATTGCATGAAATGTGAATTATACTTCAATAAGCTGTTATTAAAAATAATTATAATATTTTTTTTCCAAATATAATGCCCAGCATGATCATTAGATAACCTGGCATGCAAGAAGACAAAATGACATGAACGAGAAGAGGCACAACAGATAACAGACCCAGGTCCAAACTCAAGCAAAACCACTGTCAAAACAATTATGTCTGTTATGTGCTTGTTATTGGAGAGAAAAGCCAAACAAACATTCCTGAAAAGAAACAACTAGAAATTCAAGAACTGGAAACTACCATAAACAAAATTAAGAGTCCAGTGAACGGGAACAAACTTAACAGCAGATTAGATACAGCTAAAGGGAGACATAGTGAGCTGGAAAGTAACAAGAAAAAATTAACCAGACTAAAGGGAAGAAAAAGGATAGTAAAACACAAAGAGAAGATAAAAGTGGAATATAGTGAAAAAGTCTAACATATATTTAAATTAGTTGGGGGAGAGGAGGAAATGAGGCAAAGTTATATTTTAAGGGAAATGGCTGAACATTTTTTCTAAAACAGAAAAATACCAATCCACAGATTTAAAAATCCCAGGGAATCCCAAGCAGAATAAATAAAAAAGAATTGACATCCAGACACAATAAAGTGAAACCAGAAAATCAAAGTAAAAGAGAAAGCTCTATCCTCCTTGGAGAAATGTCTATTTAGGTCTTCTGCCCTTTTTGGATTGGGTTGTTTGTTTTTTTGATATTGAGCTGCATGAGCTGCTTGTATACTTTGGAGATTAATCGTTTGTCAGCTGCTTCGTTTGCAAATATTTCCTCCCATTCTGAGGGCTGTCTTTTTGTCTTGGTTATGGTTTCCTTTGCTGTGCAAAAGCTTTTAAGTTTCATTAGGTCCCCTTTGTTTATTTTTGGTTTTATTTCCATTTCTCTAGGAGGTGGATCAAAAAGGATCTTGCTGTGATTTATGTCATAGAGTCTTCTGCCTGTGTCTTCCTCTAAGAGTTTTATAGTGTCTGGCCTTACATTTAGGTCTTTAATCCATTTTGAGTTTATTTTTGTGTATGGTGTTAGGGAGTGTTCTAACTTCATTCTTTCGCATGTAGCTGTCCAGTTTTCCCAGCACCACTTATTGAAGAGGCTGTCTTTTCTCTATTGTATATTCTTGCCTCCTTTATCAAAGATAAGGTGACCACGTGTGCGTGGGTTTATCTCTGGGCTTTCTATCCTGTTCCATTGATCTATCTTTCTGTTTTTGTGCCAGTGCCATACTGTCTTGATTACTGTAGCTTTGTAGACATTTCTCCAAAGAAGATATGCAGATTGCCAACAAACACCTGAAAGGATGCTCAACATCACTAATCATTAGAGAAATGCAAATCAAAACTACAATGAGGTATCACCTCACACTGGCCAGAATGGCCATCATCAAAAAATCTACAAACAATAAATGCTGGAGAGGGTGTGGAGAAAAGGAAACCCTCTTGCACTGGGAATGTAAACTGGTACAGCACTATGGAGAACAGTATGGAGGTTCCTTAAAAAACTAAAAATAGAAGTACCATATGACCCAGCAATCCCACTACTGGGCATATACCATGAGAAAACCATAATTTAAAAAGTCATGTACCACAATGTTCACTGTAGCACTATTTACAATATCCAGAACATGGAAGCAACCTAAGTGTCCACCGACAGATGAATGGATAAAGAAGATGTGGCACATATATACAATGGAATATTACTCAGCCATAAAAAGAAACAAAACTGATTTATTTGTAGTGAGGTGGATAGACCTAGAGTCTGTCATACACGGTGAAGTAAGTCAGAAAGAAAAACAAATACCATATGCTAACACATATATATGGAATCTAAAAAAAAAAAAGGTTCTGAAGAACCTAGGGGCAGGACAGGAATAAAGACACAGACGTAGAGAATGGACTTGTGGACACGGGGAGGAGGAAGGGTAAGCTGTGACAAAGTGAGAGAGTGGCACTGACATATATACAGCACCAAATGTAAAACAGCTAGCTAGTGGGAAGCAGCTGCATAGCACAGGGAGATCAGCTCGGTGCTTTGTGACCACCTAGAGGGGTGGGATAGGGAGGGTGGGAGGGAGACGCAAGAGAGAGGAGATATGGGGATATATGTATACGTATAGCTGATTCACTTTGTTATACAGCAGCAACTAACACAACAACGTAAAGCAATTATATTCCAATAAAGAAGTTAAAAAAAGAGAAAGAAAGCTCTAGAAGCAGCCTGTAAACAGGGGGTATATTGCCTTTGAAGACAAAATTTAAAGTGATTAACCTCAAAGTAATCAGAATATTCCACTATCAAAGACAGACGTATTCAGGTTAACCCACTGTTTGCCTACGCTTGGAAAAAAAGTACAAATTCAATAAAACAGATCTCAGAAAGAGGTCTGGGAAAGAAAATGTCTCAGAAACAAAAGCAACAAGTTACCTTCAGCCACTGCTCGGCCTGCTCCTTGCTCTGCACAGCAAGAACAAGCGGGTCCGTGCCCTGCTGAGTAATTTTCAATTCATGCTTCTTCTTTTTGCTGTCCTTTGGGATGTATGTAATGTTGCAGCCTTGGAGCGGCAGTTCCATCTGGGGCTGCTGGTCCTTGGAACTTTTGTAGCACTGCATTGGACAGGAGAAGTCAAAGTTAGGCTGTAAGGAAGTCCAAGCAGAAACACTGATGAAACTCCGGCACAGTGAAAACAGGAGTGTACTGGTGAAGCACCTGGAGGTCCGACTGAAGGGTGGAGATACTCAGAGACTGGAAGAGTGACCTGCAGACACTGGGACTCACATACAGAGCACCGCTCCACACCGACACCTCCCCTCCATGCGCGTGCAAAAACATCCGCTCATTAATTCAGCAGAATTTACCAAGCACCCAGGAGACGACTCGGTGGGAAACAAAGTCCCTGCTCTGATGGAGCTTATGTTCCAGTGGAGCTTCCCCATTAAGCGACACGAAGATACTAGATTTGCTGAAATGGCGCTGCCGCCCTAATGTGGGCAGACAGGACCTTGGATACTTTACTCCACAACCTATGTTGTTTGGTGTCCTCCTATCCCATCTCTATCCTCCTTCTGAAAGACAGGTGAATGATTTTATGAAGAGTATACATATCAACACATAACGGACAAAAACGTCTGTAAAGCTGTGCTTTCTGGTTGAGTAGAGGGTCCAAAACGCATGCTGCTGCGTCTGCATCACTGACATTCGCCCTAGAGCTTTCAGTGCTGTGGTGACACTGACACTGAGTTCCCATCACTCTCGCTTGATCTAGACCTCTCATACCAGATCTTTGCCCAAAGGCTTCCCCCCTCCTGCCCGGGGTTCACTGCATTACTGGGGACCAAAAGCACACCCCGTAATGGTAATACGTGGTCTAAGAGTTCAGGTATCTGGGTCCCAGCTCTGTTACTAATTTAATCTGGGTTCCCACAAGTCGTTTAAGCTTTCTGAGCCTGCTTCCTTTTTTGTGGAATGATTTATTGCTGTTTTTATTATTATTTTATTGAATTACATTATTATTAAATAATTAGCAACAATAACAGCGGCTACCAAATATTGAGTGTCTACCTTATATGAGGCATGTCATACATCTCATTTAATTGTCAGGTTTGTCCATTTTGCAGATTAGGAAATTGAGGTTCAGGTGGTTGGGAAACTAGTCCAAAATCAGGCATCCTGAACAGCGGCACAGCCAGGGCTCTAGCCCCAGACTTTGTGAGTGCAGAGCCTGCACCCAGGACCCTAATCCATCTACTGACGAAGGAATGAATGAACAGATGCTTCTTTTCAGAAATGATTTCTAGAGCCCTTTCCTGTTTTACGGTTCTAAGACCTTGGCTCCTAAATGGCACAGGTATGGAAGATACCCACTTTCTTAAGAAGTAAAACTGATGGCCACCCTGCCTAAAAAGGAAGAAAAAAATACACCAAAAACAACTAATCTCAGGTTGCTATGAATGTTTACCATTTACCAGACTTTTCACGTTCTCGGTATGTGCAAAAAAAAAAAGTGAAAAGGAAACTAACAGCAGAAGGAATTGGAAAGGAAATTTTTTTTTTTTAATTAATGAATTTATTTATTTATTTTTGGCTGTGTTGGGTCTTCGTTGTTGCACGCGGGCTTTCTCTAGCTGTGGCGAGCGGGGGCTCCTCTTCGTTGCGGTGTGCGGGCTTCTCATTGCGGTGGCTTCTCTTGCTGGGGCGCACGGGCTCTAGGCTCGCAGGCTTCAGTAGTTGTGGCGCTTGGGCCTCAGTAGTTGTGGCTCGCGGGCTCTAGGGCGCAGGCTCAGTAGTTGCGGCGCATGGGCTTAGTTGCTCCGCGGCATGTGGGATCTCCCCAGACCAGGGCTCGAACCCGTGTCTCCTGCATTGGCAGGCGGATTCTTAACCACTGCACCACCAGGGAAGTCCCAGGAAAATTTATAGCTTATATTTTTCCTTAAGTTAAACACTTCAAGGTGGATATGTTATCAGTAATACCATACAGTAACATCTGGGGCTCCCTGCAGGTTGGATTCCCAGGGAAGATGACTCTAAAACAGAGCAGCACGCGGGATATTTATTAAGGGGCATTTATTTAAGAGCTATACCTGTAGGAGGGTGGGGGCTGGGTAGAGGAAGAGGGTAAGCTTCAGTGCAGTCCAAATACAAGGCCCTGATGAACCCCACGGGAGCTCTGGAGCTGGACCGCGCCTGCAGGCTGGTCCCACGAGGCGGGGCATTCACACTCAGGCATCACAGGGGATGCAGACGCCCTGGGAAGGGACGTGACCTTGGGTAGCTGTCTGCCGGCAGCCCTCCCCGCAAGTGAGGGAACCGAAGGGGTCTGGGCACATGATAGTGTCCGCCAGAGAGCTGCCTGGGCGTAGAAACGAAGAGTTTCCGGAAGGCTACTCATGGTGGTGCCTGTGCGAAGACAGGCAGGGAGCACTTGGGGAAGAGGCTGGCATTTTGTTTTCTGTTGAGCTTTCTGTGACATAGCTATTACAATAATTGACTTTTAGATAATAAACCAACCTTACAGTCGTGGGATAAACCATACTTTGTTGTGGTGTGTACTTCTTTTTATATTTTACTGGATTCAATTTGGTAGTATGTTAAGGACTTTTTGGTCCGTATTCATAAGATACTGTTCTCGTTTTTTTTTTTTTTTTTTTCACCATCAACAGGGGTGATTTGGGCGGTTGGATCATAGGTCATTTTTGAACGAAAAAATGCTTCGTAATGAAACTTTGGTTCTGCATTTTATTGAAGACGGTGCTTTCACACGGTTTTCCATTAATCTCTTCTTAAATATTTATGACTCCTCTAAATGGCAGGCATTATCATTCCGGTTTGGAAGATGGGAAACCCGGTAGGTGATACAAGAAAAAAAATGATGAGGAGGGAGGGAGGGAGGAGACGAGAGCGGGGGTGGGTGGAGCGGAGGCCGGGGGAGAGGGTCCGATGTCCACTGACCCCACCCTCCACCACAAGCTGCCCACAGCACGTTTTACATGAGAGTAGCCTGTGTAGTTTTAAAATGTTTATATAATATATCCACTTCTTGCAGCCATTATGTCAGATTGTAAATACGGACCATATTAATCTTTTTCGTCTTTTTTTTTCTTTCGTTCTTTACTTTAAAATTCCCCCATGGCATCATCACGTTTGGCATATTCTAAATTTGGGAGAAATTCAGGCCACACATGTGGAAAAAACATGTACTTGCACTGTTTAAAAAAAAAATTTTTTTTAACAAAACCATTAATTAAAAAGCATACAACGTCCTAAGAATCTAGTAAATCAGATTCCCATAATTCACAGATGAGACTATTTTTTAAAAAGGGGGTTATCTGCTCCACTGAAAAGTGAGTTACAGAATCATATATTCTCATGTGTTCTGTTTTAATGATATACTTTTGAGTGATTTTTTTCCCCAAGGTTAATTTGAAGGGAAAACAAAATACAATAACACACTCTTAACATTCACAATGCCAATAACTAGCCATGGTTTCTACAGCTGGGAAGGAAGGAGGAGGGACAGACAGTGTGTCTCAAAGGCCCTTGCTTCCTTACTGGGTTCCCTGGTAGACTAACGCCTACAGCAAAGGGTCTCTGTCCTCCTGTCTCCGTTCCTCTGTTACTTACTCTGTCTTTCTATTCTGCCTCTCTGAGTTACAAGAAAAGAAAAAAAAGAGTCAGCCTTTTGCTTTCCAAAAGAATTTCCTTTCCTGGGCACTCTCCCCCAGACCTCGCCTGGCCTGCCCAGCCCACTTCGATGACCTGGCTTTGAGGAATTCACTGACTCACTACAAATGAGAAAATCCATCCTGCGACCTCTGGCAAGTTAAAGCAGCGTGCATTTCCACTGACATGAACCGCAGACGCTGGCTCCAGATGGGGATGGTTTTGCCCTCTGGTTGCTTTAGCGGAGCTGGCGAAACCAACAGCGTTAAAGCCATGGTAGCCTCGGCCAGGGCTCGCTGACGGCCCATCACGGGCCAGCCCTTGACCGCTGTTCCCTCTCCCTCCCACCGACGTTACCGCCACCCGTCTGCGTGTACATTCCACCCAGTAAGACCGCCGACCACATCTTACCGACTCTACACAAGAGCAACCAAGTCGCAAGGCTTTACCAGTAGTTTGGTGTCTTTGATGACGCAGAGTAACTTGGTCCACTGCCCGAAGCGTTTCTTCCGCAGCAGGAAGGCACAGATCTTGGCATCCTTTACCAGGTCCATGGAGGCCTCCTCCGAGGGCCACTGGTGCCGCGTTTTCTTCCCCTTTCCGTCTTCCTCCTCTTCGTCGTATGATTCGTAAGAGCTACTCATTGCATCTGAGTCATAATCTGTCAAAAGTAAGAAATAAAAAGTAAAAAACCTGGTTACAAAAGCCTTATCTTGAGGACCACCTACGGGCTGCAGGGCACATTATTATATTCATAAACGAGAAAGAGGCTCCTGCCTTCGAGTAACTGGGGAAACGTTAGTTAGCAAAAACAGGGATAAAATAACTAAGGCTTGGGCAGCGGAAACTCAACGGAGAGTTTTCAACTGAAGTGACTAAGAATGCCGTATTTATAAAAACCACTTCTGGACTCTTCTATATGGGCCCAGCATCTGCAGACCCTACGTTGTCGAATCCTTGCTGCGTTCTTGCCGGGCACCATGACCCCCATCGCGCGGAGGGTTTCGCCAAAGAAAACTCCCACCCACACCTTCATGTTAAAGTCCTTTCAAGTCTGCAATGCCCTCTTCCTTCCTGGCATCGCCACATGCACAAACCCTTCCTAAGGTTCGAGATCCAACCCAAGGCCACCCCTCTCCTTCAGGTCATCCGTGGGATTTTCAGAAAGGTTCACACCTCCTTCTGGCTCTGCCATGTGCCAACACTTAAATACCGGGTTGTCTGTAGTCTCCCAGCTAGATCCCACTTTCCCTTACCTCGGGGTCTCACACGCTGCTCTCACCCAGGCTTCGCACTCATCCCACTCAGACTCCTGCCTTTGCCTGGACACGTGCTCTCATCACTCAGGACTTAACTTACAGCACCTCCTCCCTGAAGCCCTCCCTGGATCACCAGCACTGACTGCTACAGACTGAATTGGGTGCCCCCCAAATTCACGTGTTGAAGCTCAAACCCCAGTGTGACTGTATTTGGCGACAGGACTTTTAGGAGGTAATTACGGTTAAATGAGGTCGTAATCCCCTTAGGAGAAAAGAAAGAGGGAGATCCCGCGCTCTCTCCCTGCCGTGTGAGGACACGGGGAGAAGGCGGATGGACGTAAGCCAGGAAGAGAGCCCTCACCACAAGCTGACCATGCCAGAGCCCTGACCGTGGACTTCCAGCCTCCAGAACTCTGAGAAAATAAATGCCGACTGTTTTACCACCCAGTCTATGCTATTTTGTTACGGCAGCCTGAGCTAAGACACCAGGTGAAATGCCCCCCTGCTCTGCTTCCACACTACCCAACACAAAACCTATCTCACTGTATTGTCACCTCTGTTTGTCTGCCTGTCCCACATCAGCCTGTAAGTCCCCTGCAGGAAGGGAGGCCACCCTGTTGGATGTGACTGTCCCAGCACTTAACGAACTACCTGGCACAGGGCCAGTAACAAATATTTACAGAAGAGAGAACTGTTGGATCGACGGAAATTCAATGCAAAGCCCTCAGAAGGATGGCTGGCTTCTTAAAAGCAATGAATAAATACTAGTGACTATGAGTGATCTTATTAATTTCAGCCCTGCTGGGTCATAAGGTCCTGGAGGCCGTGTCTGATTCATCTCTGCACTGCCCTCAACCCCCGGACACATCTGGAATACATCTGCTTTCATAACACACGTGAGGAATGAACACCTAAACGAGGAATGAGCGACAGATAACGAGAAACCATGGATGAAGCAACCGGTTGCACACGACGGGAGAAGGGGCAGAAAAGGCTGACCTTGCACAGAGCAGAACTCACTGGAAACTGGGCTGTGATTTGTACTCCGTGGTCACACTTGCATGTTAATTTCCCCACAAAGAATTATTTACTAAGCGGGGGGAATGGAAAGACTGGTAGTTTAGGTTGAATTTTAAATCCTGATAAAGTAGTCAAGGAAAGATTTTAAGCGAGACTAGGGTGACTGAAGAGGTAACTCTGGCAAGTCATATTTTATGCGCTTTTTGATAAATATATTTTATAATAAAAGGTTTTTTAAGTTTAGCACAGTGGGCACGTAGCACATGGGGAAGGAAGTATGAAACCGTGAAAGACCACGTGCTGCTCCACAGCCCAGGGTTCGCTGAGAGATTTCAGACGGACGGTGGAGCAAGTCCTAATTTATCCTGGAAAGATGCTGCTCACAACAGCTTGGGGGGCCATGGACCCCTCGGCGCTTAGCTCATTTTCTAGAACATCAAATTCAGTAAACATTGAATGAACAAAAGAATTAATGACTAAATCAGTCAGAAATGGGAACATTTCATTTCATTCACGCAACAAATATTTATTGAGCGCTCACTATGTGTCAGGCAGTATTTTTTATACTTGTATTTGTAAGCTGTGGGATAAGGCTGTGAAAAGAGGAAGCCAGCTCTGCACTTACACCCCCTGCCTTGCTGGCACTCTTAGCCGCCCGGAGGCGGGCACAGAGCAGGGTCCTTATCTCAGAGGAAAGGCACGAGGATGCTGAGAGATCAGGTGACTCATCCGAGACCCCATCCCGATGAAGGATGAAGTGAAAACCTGATTCTGAACTGAAAAAGTAGACCGTGGCCCTGGCTACCCAGGGGCTGAGATCCACGGCTGGCAAAGACAGGAGGTTCATGGCCCACCTTCTCCTGAGAGAGCAGGACGGACGGAATCGCGTTAGAAGAACGTCAGCCAACTCAGCAGCACACCAAGCAGTCGGGAGCCACAGTCTGAGCCCACAGGACGACCCGCTCACTGGCAAGTCTCTTGGGCGGTCACCCAGCAGAGTCCAGGGTTCCTCCTGGGGGCTGTAACAGGATGTCAAGGGGTCCGGTGTCAGGGCTGGGGTCGGGATTTCGTTAGGAGGTAACGAGGGCCCCGCGGAAAGCTAAGGAAGACACAGAGCTGGGGAGGGGAGCAGAGAGTCACCGACGGCGTGTCCTTATCTCCTCTAGCTCTCGTTCCTGACGGCCGTCCTGACCAGGTGCTCGGGGGACACCTTCAACAGCTCCGCCAGTGTGTGAGGTCGAAGCCCTGGAATAAATCTCCCATGTTCCACCTCGTGGTGCTTCTTCTCTGCTCAAACCCTGCTCTAGAAACTGGAAGCAGAAGCCCTGGCAGGCTCTCACAGGTGAAGCTCAGGGCCGACCTGCAGGAGCTCAGGGCGCAGCGTGGGCAGCCTCTGATGACAGCCACCTCATTTGGAGGGACGGCCCTAGGCGCGCCGCCGCCGCCCTAGTACAGCCTAAACGCTTGATTGCGGAGCACCAGGTTACCATCAACCTGAGCTGCCCCGCAAGGGCTCCGCGTCATCCAACCCACCGAGGAGCACGTGGCATCGCATGGAAGCAGGCGCGTGTCCACTGGGCTCCATCAGGCCCTGAGGACGTAAGCGAGGGGCATAAGCAAGTGGCTCGGAAGCCTGTGCCCCTATTCTCTCCGCACTGCCTCTCCACTCAACACTGGTTCGTGGGCACGCCTGGCATTTGCTTGGACGGTCAAGACTTGAGAGGGACTGGCAGCAAGGAGGTCTGCGGAAGGGGCTGTGAGTAGGGCTCGCGAGGTGAGCACCTGCACATCAGGTGGATGCTTAGCAAAGGGCAACCTGGCCAGAATCACCATCAGGTAACCACACGACCCACTGTGTAGACATCAGTGGGCTTCTTTGCCCAGATTTCTTGTGCGAATGGACTCCTGCACAGGCAGCTGGTGTCAGGGGCGGAGGTGACACATGGAACTCAGCAACATGGACTTCCTCTCAGCAAGGGCCATCTGACTCCTGGCACTTGTGAGTGTCCTGCCTGCACACGACACTGTTCCCTGGGCTGTCAGCCAGCCGCCTACTCACAGGTTATCCCTGGACCACGTGCACCATGGAAGGGGCAGCGCTTTATTCTCACTGGAGGGGATAAAGTAAACCCGCTGTCCACGATGCTCCTGCAGAAAGCACCATCCACGGGCTTGAAGCCTTGCTTCTGACCAAGGAACTCATTTTACAGCAACTGAAGTTGACGGCAATGGATTTGCGCTCATGAAGCTCACTGGTCTTGCCTTGTCTTCGTCACCCTGAAGCAGACGACGCAGCAGAGACCAGCGCAGTCCCTTCGGAATATTCCATTTCAGGCCCAGCCTGATTGGTCACACCTGTGGGGCTGGGGGGTGGGATCTTCCAGAATATCTCCAAGCACAGGTCTGGGAACCCAGGGGTGAAATGGTAGTGACTCCACTCACTATTACCCCTAGACATCCACTCACTAAAATTCTGCTTCCATTCCTGGAAATTTTGGCTCTGCTGGCCACAGGTCTTACTCTCTAGGGGCAGAACGTCCCCTCTAAGGGACACAGTGATGGCTCCACTGACCCAGAAGTGGAGACAACAAACAAACCTAGTGGTCTCTGCAGTGACTGGGTGACTGGTCCCGCCCACCAAGAAGCTGTGACCACACAGGGGGAGAAGGGCACGTCCAGGTCCAGGAGATCCCTGGGGTATCCTTAGCACTCGAGTCAGCGGGACACTGCCACTGTCCAGCACAGGTAGTCCTGCTGGAGGCCAGACCTTTCAGGAAGGAAAGCTGAGCCACTGTACTGGACCATCAACCAAGGTGCCTGCTGAAGGCAAAGGGGACATGCAGGAAGTTATAAATACCAGCTAGGACCATGGACCGTTTGTGGAAATGAGGACTGAAGCCTTTACGAGGTTCTTGTCCATATTTTGATAGGGCTCTATCTGTGTACGTATAATCGAATCCTTTTCTTCCCCTCTCACATCCCCTACCATCTAACAGAGAAGTGCTAACAGCAGTTGACCCTGGCTTCATCTTCTAGTGGCAGGCTCCCAAAGGGGAGAGTGTGACTTGGCCGGAAGAGAACGAGGTCACCCCAAAGTGGACAGAGGATGTCATACCCTCTGGGGAGTCGGGGAGTTTCCGTCACATCAGTCATAGTTGAACCGTGTTACGCTGAACCACGACTCTGCCCCCCGTCTTCGTTTGCAAATCCACTGCGGGTAAAGAGAGGTGCGTGGATATCAAGCCGACCCAGGAGCAATGGTGGTGCTTTTGTGCTGTATCCACTCGGCAAGGCTGGGACGCATCCCCCCAGACTCCCTTTGCTGGATGCTTCTGGGTGAGGACTGGCCACAAGAGAAGTCTGTGGGCAACCTGGACATCGGGAGGGTGCCAGGCGCTGCATCTTGCGCTCGCGGGTGCTGGGCTGCAGGCCTTCCTCGTCGGCGCTCCCGCGGGGTCCCCTGCCCAGCCGCCTCTGGGTCCTGGCCAGCCGCGTGTGGCTCCACGGAGCTGCGGTCCGGCCTCCCGCACGGGGCCCCGCGTCGGGGAGTGAGAGGCAGGGGGGTTCCCAGCATCCTTCCTCGGCCCCGGGCCTCGTGCAGCTCCCCTTGATGGCGGCCGGCCCCCTGGCACGCGTCTGCCCCGGTTCCCACGACCCCACAGGGTCTCGCGTCTACAACACGCCCCTGCCCCACGACATGGTTCTGCTTCTCCAGTAGACCGGGCCTGGCTCGGGGCTCGACAAAGCTGCCAGAAGCCCATGAGTAAGTGAAGGCGGTGCGACCCTGGCCCGACCCGGCCGCAGACCCCTGCCACGGCTCCCCACGTGGAGGGTCCTGGCCAGTAGCCGAGGCTCAGGCACAGACGTCTGAGCGAAGTGCTGGCACTGCGGACCCACTGTCCCTCCCCAGGCAGCAGTCCTTCCATGGCCCTCCCTCTGGGCTTAGCTCAACCAAAGGGGCCCGACCTCAGCAGTTAAGGACACGACACACCGGTCGCGTGGGCCTTCTTGGACCGAAGATGACCAAAGGTCCCCGCAAGTCAAACAAAATTACTCTCGGTCTCTAGTCTTGAAAGTATGTTGGAGCGGGACAAGGAAGGTGGGAGAAGGCTGGGACCCAACGTTCCCAACGGTGGGAAATACCCTCATCAGCAACTGTTTTTCCTTTATTCATTGTTTTCAGAAAGAAAGGAATCCACTGAAGTGTTGAATTATATCAAGCCGTTTAATTTTTTGTGTTTTCTCATTAATTTACTATCTTCTGAAACAGTGGACACTTAGAAATTACTTGAATGCATTTTTCCCAAATGGTTCTAAAATGAAAGAGAAATTTAAATATTTAATATTCGGATCTCAAAACCCAGTATTTCATAGCCTCCTCGTCAGAACTGTCCCTTCTCTCATTCAGAATTCACTAAGAGGCCCTCAAGTATCTATTGATGCTGGGCCGAGGCTGCGTCGGCCTGCTCCAGAGCAAACAGGCACGAGTGAGCGGGAAAGGCCACTGCCCTCCAGGGCCTGAGGTCCCGCTCGCCTGGCTTCTGTGTGTCCCCCTTCACGGTCAGAAAATATCCTGGGGGTATTTCCTGGAACGATCAAGTTAGATTCTGCTTTGCTGAAACGGCCCTGCTTGTTTGCTGCCAGGGGAGAGAAAGATCAGAAAACTAGCTCCAAGTCTGCACGAAGCAGAGACTTCAGGGGACAGGCAGATGGCGACAACGGAGAGCGCTTCCGTTGGAGGTGAGGAGAACGGGACACAAGACGCGGAGACACGGAAGCCTCTCCGTGACACGAGCAGATCACTCTTTCACTCCCCATTTTACACATGTTTTACAGGAAAGGCAAGCTGGATTCCCTAAGGCAGCACACTCAGATATGCCACATCTGCCTCATTACGAGACAAAGCACGCCGCCTGCTGCCAGAGTTATCGGGAGCGAAAGCAAAGGCAAAGATCTAAAAACAAACCCCAGAGGTAGTTACAACAGGTGCTCAATGCCACTGCCCTTCCTCTGTGACTGTGAAAGCCGGCTGCCTACAAAGGGGCACTTCTGAGTGCCAGCAGGCAGCTAACGATCACGTCATGACGGCCCTAACGTAGGCCAAAGCATTCTTGTAAAACCTGTATGAATGGGGAACAAAAAAAAGAAACAGGAAACAACCTAAATGTCCGTCGACAGATGAATGGATAAAGGAGGTGTGGTACCTATACGCGATGGAATATGACTCAGCCATAAAAAAGGGCAAAATAATGCCATTTGCAGCAACATGGATGCAACTAGAGATGATCATACTAACTGAAGTAAGTCAGAAAGAGAAAGACAAATACCATGTGGCATCACTTACATGTAGAATCTAGAATAGGACACAGATGAACCTGTCTATGAAACGGAAACAGGGACGTACAGAACAGACTGGTGGTTGCCAAGGGGGAGGGGGGTGGGGGAGGGTTGCGGTGGGGTTTTGTGATTAGTAGATGGAAACTGGTGTATGCAGAACGGATAGACAACAAGGTCCTACTGTAGAGCACAGGGAACTAGGTTCAATATCCTGGGATAAACCATAATGGAGAAGAATATGAAAAAGGATGAACATATACGTATAACTGAGTCACTCTGCTGCACAGCAGAAATTCACACAACACTGTAATTCAACTACGCTTCAAGAAAAAATAAATTGAAAAACAAACAAACAGCTACAATGAGATGCCTGCTTGCTCTGTATTTATTTTATAGACACGCTTTCTCGGTGGCACCATGAATGCAGCCTGAGAGGGACGTGCCCTGGTCAAGGTGGCGGGGAGGGACCCCATGAAAACATGCCTCAGAAAGTCATTCTCTTCTGACCACAGGGAACACGTTTCACTGGCTGACGCATGCTCCCACAGCAACAAGATTTCACAAGAAATCTGAGTCACAAGAAAGACAACAATCTGAAATTACCGAAGGTACTTGGTGGACACCTTAGACTTTTCAAAACCCTTTCTGTAGCCCCCTCTCCCTGGGTTCAGAATTTCCTGAAGTCCACATTTCCATGGTGTTGCGTAATGCCCCTACTCCCCTTCACCCCAAAAGCGGGAGGGCTCCCCAACAGCCCCGCAGGTCAGGGGGCCACTCACTTGAGGTGATGTATTCCGGAGCCTTTCCGGGACTCAGCGGCACGGCCTCCTCGTAGTAGCCTTCCGGGAGAGAGGATGTCGGTAGCGGTGGCGGCCCACTGTCAGGCGGCTGAGCGAAGAAAGGAAGAAACAACAGAGCACGATCGTTAGGGGGAAATTCTGGGTCTGCACCTAACAGGTGTCGATGGGCGTTTTCCTCCCTCCTTTGTAAAGTCCCTGGAGAAAAAGAACATGATCCAAAGAGCTCCCAAAGTTCGGCTCTTGGCAGGATCTGCACTGCCCGCCCGCTCACGGCCACCCTCAGCCCGGCCCTGGCCATGCCACTCGACCCACACGACCCGCCGGCTGTCACCAGCCGCGTGCTGGCCCTCGCAGACCCCTCCCCCGGAGCAGAGACAGGCGTCTCTCCTCCCCTCTGCCCCACGCCACTGCCCTCCCAGATGCCCAAGCTGACTTTCCCCTTCACGGCCTGCGTCCCACACTGGAGACCCCCGAGGGGCACAGAGACGGCTCAGGTCCACCCGTGCTCATCACAGGGCAAGCACCAGTGACACAGCGACTGAACACATGCGTACGTTTGCCCACAATCTCACCACACTCCTCGTGTGTGCCAGGGAAGCTTTTCAAAAAAGAGAAGAGGAAATCACCTATGAGCCCATCTCTAAAAGAAACTGGAAACTATTCTCTGGAGAAGCAATCTGACAGACTCTGAGACGGAGGCACCCTGACTTTGAAGCCGTAACTTCAGAGCATGCAGAGCTGGCAGGCTCAGGACCATCCAGATTCGAGCAAGACCGGCTGAAGCACCATTGACTCAGAAGTCCCTGATGACTCGAAGGCAGACCCATCTCTTCTTCCCGTGAACACGTATGGGGTCTGCTCGTTCCATCCCTCACTGGTCCTTAGGTCAACAGAAACAGGTGAAGGGCAGGAAAGCCAACATCCTCCAAACACCTGCTATCTGCCTGGCACTGTCCTAAGCAGCCTCTGCCCTGGTTACAAGCTACATCAGTCATCCACCCAGGGATCCTTCAAGGTCGATATTACATCACCCGATGTTTTACGGATATGGGAAGTGAGAAAAAAAAAAAACAAAAAGATATGGGAAGTGAGGCTCAGAGTCCAAAACCTCCTGCTCAAGATCAGACACTGGTCCAGGACACAGCTGGGGTTTTCGAGCACCAGATCTGCCCAGCAAAGAGCTTTTTCATATTCATATTCTCTGTTTCTCGCCCTCTATCAGAGCTGTGCTTACACTCACATCTATACAACGGCACGTCACTCACCAAAATGTTAACACAAGGTTACTGCTTTTTTATGCATATCCATATAGCTTGCATTTTCTACATAATATTGTTTTTAAAATCAGGAAAAACAATGACTTTCATTTGAAGTAACACCCCTCAAAAAATAATACTTATACAGAAGCGCTCTCTTTCTCCAAAAAGGATCTCACACTCCACTCCCAAACACCACTTGCCCTTGAAATTCTACCACAGGGGTTCCAGACAATGGGCAGAGGTCTGATGGTTTGTTCAAGGGCAAATGAGGGAGAGACAGAAATAATGTTTTCCCTTTCATAACTAGTTCACACCACCTATATCCTATAAGCTAATGGGAAAGATGCCGCCGAGAGCGGAAGAGAACAGAGGCCCCAAACCGAAGACCGACCAAGTGCAGTTTGCAAGGAGAACAATGCTCCACAGAACGTGAAACTCCACCACTTTTCCTGTAACTCAAGTCTGAAGCCAAGAAGTCCTCGGCGAATGACTAATCACCGCTGCGCACTCAACCCACTCCTTCCTCTCGCCAGATGAAGAAAGATAATTCACTCCAGGTCATCTGCGCGGTATTCCTTCCCAGCCTTGAAGGCACTTATCTCCCTTCCACCCCCGGGTCCCGATTCCCTTGCGCTCCCCTCCCCAGGCTGAGGCCCGCCCGCCATCACCCTGTGCTCTCACGCTGGACCACATCCACTCCTATCACCTGGAGAGGAGAGGTGGTGCCTACAATGTAACCTGACACACTGTCCTCCCGGGGTGAGGTCTGAACAGGAGTCCACGCCAGGGTTAAAGCCTCCGCGTGGTGCTTTTGGAAGGGGGCTGTTTGATACCCTGAGTGTTTTTACTCCTGAAATCAGGGTGTTTCGACTTCCCCTTAGTATGTTGAAACAGTCGGATTATTCACGTTTCTAGAAGAGCATTACAAGTGGCTGGATCGAACGAATGTTTACGAATTAGCACAGGCCCCTCCCTAGTACTGCAAAGGTGTGTAAGGCAGGTGCTGACTCCCAGCTGATGGGACTTAGCAGACTTCGACACAACCACTCGATACGTATGCCCTTAAATCCACAATTCCACTTCTAGAAATATATGCCAAGAAGGTCAACTGGTCATACAAGCAAAAACGTATAAGGATGTTCAACAGAAGTTTTTCCCTCCCAAGTTAAAAACAAACTAAACATTCCCTGAGAGAAGAATGCTTAGGTATCCTGACACAGCCAGGTGCAGACATGTAAAAGGACAGTGCACATCTGCAGTCATGTACTTGAAAAATCTCTACTAGATACTGCCAAGTGAAAGAAAACAGGGACACTATTAGCCTTCCTATCAGAGCTGTGCTTACACTCACATCTATACAACGGCACGTCACTCACCAAAATGTTAACACAAGGTTACTGCTTTTTTATGCATATCCATATAGCTTGCATTTTCTACATAATATTGTTTTTAAAATCAGGAAAAACAATGACTTTCATTTGAAGTAACACCCCTCAAAAAATAATACTTATACAGAAGCGCTCTCTTTCTCCAAAAAGGATCTCACACTCCACTCCCAAACACCACTTGCCCTTGAAATTCTACCACAGGGGTTCCAGACAATGGGCAGAGGTCTGATGGTTTGTTCAAGGGCAAATGAGGGAGAGACAGAAATAATGTTTTCCCTTTCCTAACTAGTTCACACCACCTATATCCTAGGAAAGATGTCGCTGAGAATGGAAGAGAACAGAGGCCATGGGTGGATCAGAACCGCTATTTGGCACCGTTGCTTTCAGAGGAAAACCTTCTGTCAGATCCTTTCCAGTAGGTCAGAATTCGCTGAAATCACAATTCACAAGAATTTTAAACAGTACAAAATGAGGAAGGCAAGTCCAAAGGGGGGTCATGGAAACCAGAGCACAGGCAGGAAACTGGCGTGTAGGGTAAAGGAGACCAATGTTCCAATACTTGGCACGTGAGGCCTAGCCCCAGCCTCGGCCTTGGTTTATGCAGCCTTCCTCTGTATCTGGGGGCCAATCTCCTTCCTGTAAATGAGGGCGTGGGATCATATAACCTCTGATGTCCATCCCGGCTCTAAGATTCCAACTGTAGTATCCTTATCAAGTTGCAGGTCATCAGTCAATAAAGCCAACTTTACACATTTCAAAACTGTAGTGAGAGTTGACTTTGGGTCCTCGCTACCTGATTGATGACACTGTCATCTCTGGCCAGAGCACGTACTCACATGTAGCTTCTGACAGTAAGGCTACACACCAACGTGGCATCGCTCTACTTTGGATCTGGCAGCTTCCCTTCAATGCTAGAAGAGACCCAGTCTGTGCACAAAGCTCTGGCGCCACCTGGCACTGGCCACCAGAGTCTTCCTGGACTGGCTCTCAGAAAACACATGCTAACAGAATAAGGGACTCAAGTCTAACCCTCACAGCCTTCTCAGATACTGACAACGAAGGATGAGAAACTGTTTTCCCCGAGGAATGACTGATATGTGCTGCGCCCTAGACAGGAAAGTAGAAATGGCACGGTACTGGTTACTAGATAACCTTTAAATTCACTGAAATATTTCTCCCACGAATGAATGCTTAAGTGAATGTGACTTTTTTTTCAGGAAATCTTATCTGCCTTAGGCATTGTAAATTCCTCTTTTAAGGTGTCAGCGTCTTATTAGAAAAGACCAATACTTACAACTGGATAGGAATATAATCGACAGGCTTGCTTGGCTCACAATATTGGCCACAATTTAATTTCTACCTTTTTGGAAAGAAAAGCCCATTAATATTGGGTTGGCCAAAAAAGTTCGTTCACGTAACCCAAACGAACTTTTTGGCCAACACAATATTTGTCTTTGCTACTTTAAGGAAAAGCCTCATAGAAAATTTTTTCCATTAATAATAATAAATATTAAGATATAATTATATGGCATAAATACAATGATTATTATTGTTATTGCTATTATGCCAACAAAATAATAATAATGACTATTTACGGTCTGCCTTCCGTGTGTCACGTATTGTTCTGGAACACTTTATATATTTTTTCTCTTGTTGAGAAAACAACGCTGAGACATTGGTATTCTGATTCTGATTTTACAAACGAGGAAACCGAGGGGGATGCAAGACCCTGCCCAGCACCCCCGTGCTGCAGAGCTGCTTAGCGGAGAAGCCAGGAGTCGGCCGGGTGGGCACAGACGAGCGCTTACTGCTGCGGCAGCCGAGCCAGACGGGATGCAGGGAAGGAACTGTGCAACCCACCAAGGCCACTGGATCCAACCCGATGCTCCCGGCTCCCGCAGCACGGCGGGATCCGTGCGGTCCTGAGGAAGGCACGTCCACACCGGCTCTACCTCCATGCCCACTCTGCCCTTCCTCCCTCCTCCTCTCTGCTGCTGCCCCCCACCTTCCCCTCCTCCAGCCCCCATTAATCACTCAGTCGTTTGCACCAGACACACCAATGAACCCTGAGACCTAATTTCAGCAGAGAAAAACACCAGCCTAGAATTTGGAATCGCTTTCTGACTTTAGTTCTATACATACAGTGATACATCCAGATTCTATCTTACTGGCTACAGTGATTAAAATCTGTTAAGAGTAGCAGCTAAAAACGATATGATCTGACAGAAGACAGGGAGGGTTCACGCTCTAGCTCTGCCACCTATCGGCAAAGCCCTTTTTGGCTGAGAGAATAAGGTAGCAGCACTCCACAGCATCACCTGAGCTTCCCGAGGACAGGAGGGAGGGATTGTCAACAGATAACAAAAGCTTATGGCCTCAAGTGCAAAACACGGTTTCAATCCTAACGTCAAGAATTTTGAGCAGATACTCTTCTTGGCAAA